TAAAGAGATTCCCAAAGAGATGAAGTTGCCACCACCATGATTAGTGCTAAAATGGCTGCTCTGTGCATCAGAGTTAAGTATCTCCCTGTACTGTCTCTCTGTTTCACTCAAAGGTCTCAGTGTCTCAGCTGGGCACTGTGAGGCCACTGGTTTCTTCCTTCTGACGGAAACATGCAATCACCCTTTTCTTCTGGGTGGCCACATGCCCCCCACAGGGGTTAAAACAAACAAAAACCCCCCACCTTTTCTGTCCTCACAAAAGGAACTCGGAAGCCATCCTTCTTCTGTTAAGCCAGCACACCACAGTCCCTGTTAACGTGAGGACTGCATAATAGTTCCTCAAAGCCATGCCTTTGGCTGAAGGACAGACACACTGTCAGTACACTCTTGGGGACAAGACTGAAGGGAAGATGCTTGTGATCCTTCCCCTCCAGCCTGGGTTGTATGAGGATTCGGCTCCCACTCCTCTCACAGACATTTGTGCCTCTTCTCTCCTCACAGGTCCAAGCCGTCGTTTTAAGAGGGTAGTAGAAACCATTCAGGCACAGTTGTTAAGCACACATGACCAGCCTTCAGTGCAGCAGTTATCAGGTAAGTAGTTTTTACTGTTAAGCACCTTGCTTCAGCAGGGACAGGAAGGTGAAGTGCCTCTGGGTACCAGGAGGCTGAGGGAGGCCATCCCTCTGATTACAGCAAGAAGCAAGCTCCATTCAGACAGAGCAGTAACTCCCTGCACCCACCCTACTCCTCCTTCTCTCATTCCCACTCCAGTGCTCCCAGTGCATTCCCCAGTTGAACAACTTCTGCCCTCCTCCCGCCCAAAGAGCCATTTGACCACTTCTCCATCAAAAGCTGCATCATCAATAGATCTTCCAAATTTCCTCCTGCTCCAAAATCTCCCAGAATAGGGACATGCTCTAGAATATACCTGATTTTCAAATCCTTCAGGCATGCTTTAGAAATATCCACCTTCGGATGGTCCCAGAACAAAGTTGAGAGCTACTTTTAACTTAGCCATTAATAGCAGCATTTTCAGATGGTCAGAAGGTGGCTAGTAGTTTCCAGTACTGTGGTCAAATTCTTGGCCCAATACTGTGGTAGCACAAATCATATACTAAGGTTCTGCAGAAGCTACATTTTATCTATTTTTAATGTAAATTTCAATTCCTCGTGGTGGTAAAGAAAGCCTTACGTGTGTGACCCTGTGCAATGACATCAATCTGAATCTGCAGGCAGCCTGAATTGATAATACAGAATCTGGCCTCATCCCACCATCATGTAGCAAATGTTCACTCTGAACACAAACACACACAAAAAGAAATCAGTCTTAAGTCTTCTATCCTTTAAAAGGACAGAACAAAGGAAGAAGGTGAAAACTGAAAACGTACAGAAGCTTAGCTATTGGGAGTGCTTCAAAGAAGGAAAAGTGGGGAGAAGCAGAAAGAATGTACAGATACAGGGAAGAAATAGGAGCAAGGCAGAGAGCAGAGGATGCAGAAAGAAGACAAAGAGGCAGGACAAGTGGGAAGAATTTTCCCATTGTATGATGATGAAAAGGTAGTAAATAAATATTATACATAAGAGCTTGACCTTTGTGTGAACCAGCCAAGACAAAAGTGGAGGAATGAAGTTGGCATTGCATCCTGCAGTTAAATCCCAAATGTCCTTGGCTCATTGCACATATGGATTGCATCTTTCTGGACTAAGTGTGGCTTTAACAGCTGAAGATAAAATAACTCCATCTAGAAGAGTGTATGCTCACTAGATGACAGAGAATTATGCTCAGTTCAGGAAATACTACTTTCCACTTTGCTTTTGGCCCCAGCACTGCCTGACTTTCTGCACGCTGGATTGCAAGGATGCCCAGCACATGGGTTATTCTGTTAGGAAACAGGAAAGCCGAGGATACTAGAACTAGGGTCGATTCAGGTTTTTGCTGTCTACACTTTTGAAATTAAATCAAACTCAAGGAAGGAGCCAGAATTTTCTGCCAGCCCTTCCTCTTGGGAAATGCTGGGGCCAAGTGGGAGCGAGGGGAATGAAATAGAAAAGCATCTTCTGAGTCTACTTCATATTACCCCTGCTGCATGAACAACATTCAAGCATTCCTTGTTTCTTAAGGACAGAAACTTTCTGGTGAGGAAAAAACTGTTAAAAAAGTAAATAACATGGTGATCTCTCTTAAATTCTTCACCCTAGTATGTGCTAGCTACTGAGTCTCTCTAGAAGGACTTGGACCCCGTTGCAGACTTGCATGTGAAGCAGGGTATCTCCCTAAGAAAGTCATATTACAGCAGAAATAAAAATTATTCATCTGACAAAGGCTCAGGGAGATGTTTAGGGCAAACTGTGCTGTGAGAAATGCATCAGACTTACAGTTTTGCTCTGATTCTGGAATGGAGGAATATTACACACATAGAATCTCTTTCTACTGCCTAAAGCTACGTGAGGGCATGTTGTTCTAGCAGGGAAAACCCAGCCTGATCTTTAACGCCAGAGTGGAACAGATAACTCCACATGGAGCAAAACCAAAATGAATGGTCTCTTGAAATTTAAAAATGGGAATTCCCTCAGCCAGGGAGTTATCCAGGCAAGACAGCTCACAAGGGACAGGGTGTCAAACTATCCTGTATCATATTACCTGACCTGATCAGGAATATGCAAGTCTTTTGAAAAAGAAGTAACTCAACCTGAAAAATTTCAGTTGGAGCAGAGTACAAGGAAAAGAGAAAAGGAAGGGGGGAAAAATTATTCTTACCAAGAAAAGTGAATCAAAGTAGGGAGGCCCTGTGGTTCACATCCCCAGCCAGTGAGAAAGTAAGGGGAAATAAAAGGATAACGGGACAGCAAGAGTTCACACTCAGCACCTCACTTAGCGAGTGGCTGTGGTTGGGAAGATGTGTGCAAGAGCTTCCTAGAAATTGCCATGGTATTACTCAGCATTTCTTACTAGAATCAAGGCAAATTCTTCTCTGTTTCTCTTGTTCTCCCACATTCCCAGCCCTGAACACCTCACAGGAATTGTGGTGGTTGGACTCCTATTCACGTTCATGGTTTGAGGATACTCTGTAGGCAGCCCAGTGCTGCAACAGAACAAGCTCACAGTTCACTTTGACTCTCCTCCTCCATAGCTCCAAGGGGAAGCTGCTGGCTCTGACCAGCAATACTGGCCCAGCACTGGAGATTTTCCTGGCTCCTTGTGCACAGACATACCCTCTGTGAGGTTGTGTCCCCTGCCTTTTAGTTCAGATGCCGTTACAGGTGGAATGATGAACACCATCTGTGAAAGGTGCATGCATGTGAAGTGAGACCTGCAGAAGAGGAAGATTCAGTGAACACAGTGTAAAGCAGAACAGCAAGACCTAATAAGCACATGGCACTGACAGTCGTTCTCTCTCCTGCCCCTCTTTGATCTGTTATGCAGCATGCCAGCCCACTAAGCCGGCTTGCCTGGGTTTCAGAACGCACTTTCCTCTTTCTCATTTCCTCCAGCTCACAACAGTGTTTGTAGATGTCGTGTTCCCCATGCATCTGTGTGTGTGTGTATGTGAGCATGATATGTACCTGATTTAGGCAGAAGTGTTTCTGTGTCACACTTGAGCACCTTATAATCACACTTCCCCCTGGATATCCCTCCATTCACTTCCATTTTTCCTTCCTAAGACTGGCTGTGCTTATTTCTTCTGTTATACTCTGAAGCAGGAAAATAGCTTCTCTCCCTTACCTGAATAACTGTGTACATAAATGAAGTCTGTCCCAAAAACTAATGTAATACTCCTAAAATCCACTGTCCAGTTGGCCAAATTTATTGTAACATATCAGACTTCTGCCTTAATATTTCAGGACATTAAATCCTCTGTGGTATTACTGCTGAGAATACCAGGTCTACAGATTCATTACTGGTATAGAACAAATAGCTAGGGATTGATTGTTCATTTTTTCTTCCCAGTGAAAGAACTAGAGGCCATCATATGAAACTAGTGGAAGCCATGTACCAAAAAAATACTGGATGTTGTGTCTTCATGAAATGTAAGACCTGTGGAACTCATCACTGAAGCAGGTTCTGAGTGTGAGGAGCTTGCAGATGCTCATCTTCCCCTGAGTACTTCTTACTCATAGGGGGGCTGAGCAACTTCCTGGAAGAGAAATCATCTTGAGGATTGCTAAGCAGAGAAACCGCAGCAAGCTCGGGAAATCTCTGACCTGAAAGTGGTGAGAGACTGAGGTAGCATCAGGAGGAAGTGTTCTGTATGCTTGGCCTGCTGTTACACTTCTGCATATCTGTGTGTCTGCTGATGGAGACAGAGCACTGGATGGTTTTGGCCTTTGATCTGAACCAGACTAGCTGTCCATGTGTTCTTGTTACTGGTATCACAAAATCCATTAAGGCCAGCGAGGCCATGAAAGGACAGTCCCTTTTGGATCAAGAATGAGTATCTCTGTCTATGAGAGCAGCTGGTCTTGTCTCTCATCCATGTCTGGCTCCATCCAGGAGCCTTATAGTCAGAATCTCTACTTAGGTAATCCCTGGGCAGGACTTCCCTTTGGTGGGATAAAAGGACCTCACTCCATGGAAGAAAATATCTCAGATTTGTGCCTTTGTTTCAACCCAATACTCTTCCCATTAAATCATAATCTGTTTTCCCCCAGTGCCTTTGCACAGAAGAGTAATAGCTGGTGAATAGGGACATGCAAAAGCCATCTGTGATCATTTACAGGGTATCAATTTTTATTTCCCTAATATTTTCTTGCCTCTTTGGGCTTTGGTTTTAAGTGTGAAGTGCTGCATATTCTTATTTCTTCCCGTTTTCCCATGTTCTGGGCAATCAGCAAAACTGAAATAGCCTTTATAACTTCTTTGTAATAAGTTTTCTGTTTCTTTATTATATTTATTGGCTTCATGTCAGATTTTAACCATTGGCATCTCAAAGTTCAGAGCATCCCAGTGTTACTGCTGGAAATGCCTTTCATCAGCATAAGCAACTGTTTAGAGACCATATCCAGCTTCAAATTAGGGCAGTGCAAATTCTTGCTCACTGTGTGTATCTTCTGTATATGCACCCAAGCTCTCTTACTGTGCTGGTGTACATCTCGAAAAGCAAAACATGTTCATGTGACTCAGAAATTTTACTAGAGTGTTGATCTGTGAATTCTGGGTGTTCATCTTTATGGCTCACAAGACCTGTAGGTTGGCTAACTTGCTGCAAAAATTTAGTAAGAAACTTACAGTTTCCAAATGTGCAAAGGATATTAAAGGCAGAAAAGGGAGTAAGGAGCAAATTAAGTGCTTTGCAAGGTAAACTTCCAGCTGCAGACTTAAAACAGGGCTGTGCAAATGCCAGTTTGGAATTGAACTGCAAGTAAATTTTATCCAGGGCTCATCCAAGTCCCAGGTTTTTCATTTCCTGCATTCTTGTGCAATCTTTTATGTCTTACCGCTCTTGTAGTGTCTGGGGCAATCACTTCATTTTGCTATCATGGTTCACAACTACAAAAGGTGCCATATAATGCCTGGTTGGATTCTCAGAGCACTGTTTTTTTGCTAAACAGCTTCAGTATTATTACTGAACAGACCTCATTAAAATTAACTG